TTTTTCTCACTACAAGTTTATGCACCAATAATACCAAACATTAGGATTTTGAAATGTATCAAAATATCAGAATTAATCACTGAACAAATGCAAATAAATTTGTAGCATAACTATTACTAAAAACTGTTAGTTCTACATTCACAGATGGCATGAACCACCCACAGTGGAAAGAAAACTGGAAAAGCACTTGCTCAATCTGGCAAACTCTAATCTGACAACTTCCGGGAGTAAGGGCTCACAGGGGTTTTTTATCAGTCCACAGGGAAGAGAAGTCATGTTAACAAGGAACTAGTTGATTCAATAAGCACTTCAGGGCAGAATCTGGGATGACTATGAGTTCCTACATATCTTCCGCTACTTTTTTCTTCACAACAGTTTGTGGAGACTGATGCACATCAGAAAAGTTGCCCCTAAACAGCAAATAAAACAAAAATGGCAGTTGGTAAGGTAGCTTTATAGCTTTACATGTCGGACAAAATGTCTCTTTCAGTCTAAGTGGGCGGTTCTTGGTCAGATGCAGCTGTACTGTGGATTAGACCTCATGACATTCAGTCTAAGTGTTTTTTTTTTTTTAACAAGACCACATTCAAATTTCACTGTAAATTTGCTTTGTTGATCTGGAATACACAACACAAAAACAGAATAAATCCAGAAGGAACATTCTAGAAATCCATTTCTACAAGTCCTGTGGGCCTCAGAAGGAATAGTTCACCCAAAAGTGAAAATTTGCTGGTAATTTACTCACCCTTATGCCATCCAAGATGTAGATGATTTGGAGAAATGTAGCATTACATCTCTTGCTCACCAATGGATTCTCTGCAGTGAATGGGTGCCATCAGAAACAGAGTCAAACAGCTGATAAAAACATCACAATAATCCAAGTACACAAGAAATCCACACAACTCCCTTCAGTCCATCAATTAACATCTTGTGAAGCAAAAAGCTGAGTGTAATAAATACATTCATCAATAAACTGTATTAACTTCACACCATTGCTTCCGGCTAGACTATTCCTTCATAATCCTAAAAAAGTCCTCTATCTGTTATATTGCATTCTCCAGTGAAAAAGTAATCTCATCTAAATCAGGAGAGAAATTACACTGTTTAGAAAACTGAAAACAGTCCAAAACAGTTCTAAACAAATATGTTGGTAGATTTTAATATGAGAGGACAACAGGGGATTTACTTTTTTACTGAAGGATGCATTATTATGGATTATGGAATTTGAAAACTTTAAATGGTTTAAAGTTAAAATGCCTTTCTGATGGATTTGTTTCTTATACAAACACAGTTGTTCACTTCACACAACCTTAACAGATGGACTGGAGTGGTGTGGATTGCATGTGGAGTATTGTGATGTTTTTATCAGTTTTTTGTTTGTACTCCCATTCTGATGGTACCCATTCACCGAAGAGGATCCATTGGTGAGCAAATTATGTATTTCTAAATTTCTCCAAATCTGCTCCCATGAAGAAACAAATTAATCTATATCTTGAATGGTCTGAGGGTGAGTACATTTTCAGCATTTTTTTTTCATTTTTGGCTGAACTATTTCTTTAACTCCCTTTAAATCACTTTTTCTCTCTTCAGAAGTGTCTGTAACGGAAATGAGTGGCTGTTCTGTTCTTCTCTCTCATTTCCCTTGTTTTCTAACCCATATTTGTGTGTATGTTTGAGCTGGTGTGTGAGAGGAAGGCTTCAGGAGTCACTTTTATTCTGCTCTCTGTCTCTGTCTGAATGTGTGCAGGTATAGTGTTGATATTGTGAATCTCTTTGCTGTGATTCTGTCTTACAGTACATGTTGAAGTCAGTGTGCAGTTGAAGAAGTGGCAGCTTTGACTTTAATCGTCATCTACAGTATATGCTGCTTCAAAGCCAACAATCATACTCACCATGCAGACTCACACACACACACACACACACACACACACACAGGTTTGTTTTTGTGAAAAGTGGGGACATCCCATAGGCGTAATGGTTTTTCTACTGTACAGACCGTATATTCTATTGTCCTACACCAACCCTACCCCTAAACCTACCCCTTACAGGAAACTTTGTGCTATTTCAGATTTTCAATACACTCCATTCTGTGTTATATATATGCGTTTTGAAAAGTGGGGACATGGGGTAATGTCCTGAAAAGTCACCTTTACCTTGTAATACCTGTGTCATACCCTTGTCATTATACAAATGTATGTCCTCATTTGTCACAAAAACGCGCACACACACACACACACACACACACACTGACCAGCTGTAAGTGTACTAGGGCCACAAGATATAGCTAACAGTCTCAATATTTATGCATTTGCTTTGAAATGAAAAGAGTGATTTGTTTCAGAGAAACCATTATTTCGACCAACTAGCATTTGAAGCCAATTAGAATTCATGCAAGATGTCAAGTACAATCAAAATCCAGTTAAACAATAATTAATTAATTCCATGGTTTTCCACAACTGTAAGCAATAAGCATAGTAATAAACTGCAATATTTATTTATATATATTTGCCTCCAACATTTTAATACATGAAAAAGCTGCACAGGGACTTCAGTGAACATTTTTGAGTGATGGCAAAAATGAATCATTGAATCCATTCACTGAAATAGTCTGATTGACCTAAATGAACTAAAACAGAGTGCAGCTGAGGAGATAATAGTCGTCTTTATTATTTGTTGCTTTTTGATTTTAGTACCGTACTTGATATAAATAGGCATTAAATGCTATCATGCTTGATGTTAAATCATACAAATATACAAAACCATAACGTTAGTGACCCTCAAAACTGTTTTTGGAAAAGAATAAAATCATAAAAAAGGTGGTAGGCTAATTCACAATATCTTTAAAATGTTTGGGGCCAGTAAGATGTTTTTTTTTTTAAAGCAAGTAATACTTTTATAGGGGTTATGCGCAAAAAACGTCCTTATTCTGTAAAACAAGTCGCATCCCTTCCAGTTCAGGTCATTGTGTATGCTTTGTTTGATGCTGTTTTACTCAAGACACCTTTAAAGGAGATACCAAAGAGTATCATAACAGGTGACTTTTGACAAATATCCCATTCACCAAGGATGTATTAAATTAATTAAAGGCACAGTAAAGGCATTTACGGCATTTGCATTGTTACAGAAGATTTCTATTTCTAAGTAATGACTGCTGAAAATCGTCTTTGCCATCACAGGAATGAATTCAATTTTAATATATTAAAATACAAAACAATTATTTTTAATTGAAATAATATTATTGCATTTATATATTCCCCAAGTGTACATAATGAAATTCATAAATACTCCATTATACTATAGTTTAAGTTCAGTACTACACATGCTGTCACTTACACAACTGCCTTACACACACAACTGAAATGCCCCGTTATACAATCACCAACACAAGGTCACTTTAACTGCAATTTCAGCAGAATCTCTGCTTGGGGAATCCACACACACATACACACACACACACACACACGTAAAGTGAGGGTAAATCCCATTTGTGTTTGTGAGTGTGTGCAAGTGTGCATCAAGTCATTTATCACTGGTGTCCCCTGTTTTTTCAGCCTGTCCCATGGGCTGATGGGAGATATGGCAACCAGTCACTAAGAGTGACATTCTAATCTACAACACCTACATCTAGAGCACACAGGGTTCCTTTCTCTCTCTGGCTCTTGTTTTCTCTCTCTCATCTTTATACTCTCTACAAATGCATGAGATGGGCCTATTCTAACAAAAGTCAAGAAGTATCTGTTGTATGATTGTTACAGTAATCTAACAGAGAAATAGTATTTTGGGTAACACTTTATTTCGATAGTCCACTTTAGACATTCTATTAACAGTAAGTAACTTTGCAACTACATGTCAACTAGCAGTTAGTAGAGTATTAGTAGACTGTCTGCTTAATATCTTCTAACACTTTCTTTGTCAACATTCTACTAACCCTAAACCTACCCTAACAGTCTACTCTGAGAGTTAGTAGACATGTAGTTGCAAATTAATGAGAATTAGTTGACATGTAGTTACAAAGTTACTTATAGTTAGTAGAATGTCTAAAGTGGACTATCGAAATAAAGTGCAACCGTATTTTGTGATATTTTACAAACCAGTGGTTCTCAACTTGTTTTGCTTTACCCAAAATATATTCAATTTAAGTGAACACATATTTGACATAGACTGGGTGTGTTTTGTTTTAAGCTGTTTTACTTCGTTTTTGAGAATGAAGACATGTTGTACTAATACACAGGAACATATATAGGGAATGTTTTCTCCTCCCTTATAAGGTCATTACATATGATTATTTTATTTTTGGTATTTGTCATTGTTTATTCCATCCTGACCCTATCAGAACAGACTCGTATCCCATTTTTGGTTCACGACCCACCAGTTAAGAACCATGGGTTTCCATTGATTAGCTGTTATCTGCCATTTCATTCCACTGGCTTAGTATCGGCCTTTCCTCACACACACACCTGTTCTGGATTTCTGGAACAGCCCGTCATAAACAGTCAGAGGCTTCTCTATAGCCAGCAGTAACAGTGGCTAAAAACAATGACTGGTGGTTCAAAGCCTTCCCACTTCTCTCCCCCATCACTGCACGCCTTGTTTTTCCCCAGAATCCTCCGGGAATTTTCCGCTGACATTTTAGTCGTGCTCCAGAGCGACTAGCTCTAATTCTCTCCCTGAGCACCCCCTCCAGAACCTCCATCTTACCACTGGCTCATTTGCCAGCTCTAAATTAGCTCAGACCAATCGGGAAGAATTTGACAGTGCACATTCTGACCATATTCTACAGTACATCCTTAATGCTACCCAATACCTAAACTAAACAACTACCTTATTAACTATTAATAAGCAGAAATTAGGAGTTTATTGAGGTAGAAGTCGTAGTTAATAGTTAATAGTGAGAACTGGACCTTAAAATAAAGTGACTTAAAATGTATTTTGATTTAACTTTTTTCACATTTTAAAAATTTCTCAAATTAAAACACAAATTCTTTGAACAGTTCTCTTACCTTCACGTCATTCACATTCATTCTTGTCCCTTTCTTCCCCACGAAAATATCATCTATGTCAACCAGGATGTAACGTTCCAGAGATCGTGACAGCTTCCTGCCTGTGAGATAAGCGATGGCATCCACCAGTATAAGTCTGTGTAACCAGTAGCTCAGCCCATGTCCAAACAGCACACGCTGCACCCCATCGTACAGGCCCAAGTCCTGCATGACGGTAGCATGGAGACCCTGGGGACCTGGTATGATCTGGGCCCCTCCACTCTCACTGGGCCGAGTTTTAGCTAATAGGACTGGTTCATACGTGGAATGGTTGAACTGAAACACAGTCCAGTCCTCTCCTGGTAAGTGGCCACGATCCACTTCCGCCCGCGTTATGTAAAGCAGAGGTGAGCGGGGGTTTACGCAGCAGTCTCGAAGTGCAACATTTGTTCGCAATGACAGAGGGAAACCCCTAAGCTGCAGTGCAGGCTGGGAGTTTTCACTTGCACGATGAAATGCGATGACTCCAACGCTGTATTCGGCACAGTATTTATCCAGAAGGTCACGGTTCCATGCGTCCATCCCAACATACTTGAGAAGGTTCTCGTAGATGACCAGTGCATAGCGTCCACGGCCATTGTGCGTTAGAGGCGGGATGTCACCCTTTCCCGGCGCAATTTCGGCATGGTAACGGAATTGGTTGGATTCTAGAATGGCGATGATGTCCTGTCCCAGTTGAGAATACTGACTCTCTACAAATACCAACACCACCGGATCCTTACGTGACGGATCGATCGGTTTAGGCGTCCGAGGCTCTGACTGTCGGAAAGGGAGCACCCGGAGGTCGGCACAGTCTGGACCTGCGGCACGGTCCGCGAGGTCCAGTCCTTGGGTGGAGCCTGTGTAAAGGTAGTAGGCGGAGACTAAAACGCTGACCATACAGAAGGTGGCGAGGAGGATGACCAGCCTCCTCAGATTCCTCCGCAGCTTGGTGGCCAGATTCATGGCAAACGGCACACATGTGTGGGAGTGTGTGTGGGTGGGAGTCTCTGATTGTTCGCTGAGGCGGGCTAAAGTTGCAAATTGGCTTTTTTGGTAATCATGCTGCAGTCATGTGACCATCTCACAAACTGGCAAATTTGCTTCCAAGACAGGCCACTGAAAGAGTTTTGGGTTGAAAATGTGACACAACACTTTCAGCTGCTCCCGAAATGAATCCTCATCCAACTAGCAACCCTTCATGTCCTGAGATATCTCCTGACACCCAACGAACCTGTAGAGAATACAGATGATAAAAGACAGGCAAATTCATACTTTAGTATAACTTTAAGCACCTCTGAGATGTGTGTGTTTTTCTGTCACAGAAGTGTTCATCAAGGGTGTGTATGGATGCTCTTGAGGGGCAATACAGCCGTCAGCCTTCAGGTTGTTTTCAATCAACACTTCACCAGCTGTGGCCAACACTTCCCGGGAGGAATGTGTGATTGGCCGTATATAAATAGGAAGTTGGAGGATGAGCCAATAGGAGCCTCAAGGTGGCTCTAAGGGAGAAATTCATCATTTGTCTAATGGGAATCAACTGTGTCACACATATACTTTGTGTACATCAGGTAATCCGCACAACTGCATTTTATATTTAAAGTTGCTTCCGCATAAAAAAGAGATGGTGGCTAAAGCGTACACTTTCGTTTTCCCCTTGTAGACACCCTAAAACAGGTAGGGGCAAATACAATGAGGATGATTTCTCATTAAATGCATTGACTAGTACATGCATTAAATGCATTAGCACATTAAATCTAGTACATCCAACAAGTGCACTGTCTTGTTTACTCTCTGTTTATGTGTGTCTGTGCGACTATGTGCACGTCACGGTCTGTGTGATATCGGAGTATGTAATTAAAGGGACATGAATTACACAAGATTGAAATAACAGATTACAGCGTTGTGTGAGAACATCACAGGGGAATTCAAGAAGGTGGGAATGTGACATCGAGGCACAGGATGAATTTCATAGCGGGAGAAAACTGAGATTACCAAAAGAACATTTTTACACACTATAACTGAGACACAGGCTTTACTTAGAGAGTGGATTATTAGAGATTGTGACATTCTAGTAATTTACATTTACATACACTATCAAATCACAAGTGATTTTTGGATGTGTGTATTATTATTTTACTGTTCAACCATGTTTATTAATAACTGAATAATCAGCGAGTTTACTGCAGTCTGCAGACTGTCCTGATTTGGCAATTACTTGCTAATACTTTTGAAAATACATTGAAATATTTGAAGTGGCCCTTACAAAGGCTCAAAAATCGACCGTCATATTTAGTTTTAGAACTAACGTCAACAAGTTTGTGTAAGAGTTAGATTTAATAAATAGCAGCACCACTAAACAAAAACTGCGTCTATGATATGAGATGTCCATACTAATATAGTGCAACTAACGTGCGCGCGCGTGTGCGTGTTTCCCCGCGAGGCGGCGCATTCTTTGAACTGGGAAACATCGCAGAAGATGACATCTTTTGCCTGCTTTAACTTATATTAATACTAATAATATTGTATTAATGTCTTATACACTTCTTGGCTCGGTCCTCTCATCATCAACAGACTAAATACATCAATATATTTTGATTAAAAACCTAAACAAGCTACAGTGTCTGTATAATATTAACAATTTTACGCAAATAATAACCTGAGGTAGGCTAATCTCTAAAACCAAAAAAGAAAAAAATGAAAGCCGACTATTTAATAAAAAGAAACAAAGGCGGATTAGTTAATATTAATGATTATTTTGGATAACAGAACATCGTAAACATTTCAACCGCTACTGGTCTTTTTAGAAACCGCTACTGGTCTTTTTAGAAACCTTGCAAGGTTTCTAAAAAGACCAGTAGCGGTTTCTAAAAAGACCAGTAGCGGTTGAAATGTTTACGATGTTCTGTTATCCAAAATAATATTTCAGAATTTTTTTTCAAATAGCCTACTTTAAATTAGTCCAAGACACTGATGGCAACAAACATAGGCTACACATGTGCATTAACGGTTGCTCTTTAAAAACTAAACCTGAGACCGTTATCAGTCGCGCTTAAAGAACTGATTTCGCGTAAGAGAAATTATAATTTAATAAAAGACCGATAAAGCCGTTAAAGACAAGGCGAGTAAAATTAAACGCACAGCATCTCCGGTCAGATACCGGTAACGTGACATTCCAACACAGCGCATCATTAATTCTCTCACACAATACGTTCAGCACAAAGTTACAACACTAAACGTAACTCAAACTAAGCCGCACTTTCGCTATCCCCAGCCGACGAGACCTTACCTTAAACCGAACCCGAGGCACTGCTGAGCGGGAAGCTGTCACACCAGAGCCGCCTCTCTCCGGAACACCAGCTCCTTACAGCTCTGAACCCGAGAGCCCAATCTCACCCGCTGATTCAGAGGCAGCCATCTGGAAGGATGCGGGGACCGGTTCGCTATTCTCTCCGCGCCCTCTTCCCCTTTCTCCCTTTCTCTCGCTGCGACACGGATTAAAGGAGCGCGCTGGGGGAGACAGGAGGAGAGACAGGG